GGTAATTGCCCAATTATGTACTTAACTATTGACATGTTGGTGTCCTTTTTGTTCCTTTGCTTTGTATATTAACAAACACTGCTGCTGTAACAGAATATCAAGAGGGAAGTAGATTTGTTCAATCAGAGAACCAAGTGACCGTCTTAGTTCAGGACGTGTCAAGGCAAGGGATTGTATATATTGTTACAACGCGGGTGGAGTTTGAGAGAATGCAATTTTTTTTAGTCAGTGGAAATGTAAAGAGGTAGGATTGTACATGTATGAGAAATAGCCTACCGGTAGTGTTGCGGGGATTTCAGCAAGTCTTACAGGTATAAAGTTTGCCATGGAAAGATGCATGAGAAAATGCAAAGTTGTAGTACTGGAACTGTAGGCAAATTAGAAAACATGAGCTGAGCTTAAAAGTGACAGAAGTACAGTAGAGATGCTAGAATTGTTTTGGATAGCGGTTGTACTTTGTAATACAGGCCTACACATGTTTTATGTTTCAGAAAGATTTTTGAGGCACTTGTAACACAATTAGGTCATATAAGTGCCGAAGAGTAGAGGTGCTGTTACAAGGGAATGATAAATACAAAAAAGAAGGAGAAATTAAGACGATAGATGTTTGATAGGAAAGAAGGACACCTATATCTACGAAGTTAACCATTTGAGCTGTTGTCACCGGTACACCGGTCGCATAAAACTGTCCGTATGCCTATAGCCACCGGTACAGCGGTGAGCGAGACCCCATCCCAAACCCGGCCCACCTGAAACAAAACGCGTACAAAAAAACAAAACAAAACAAAAAACCTACCGCGTTTACTACCCAAGTTGATATTGATTTATTTAAAGATCTTTCTGAATGAGATGCTGCTAATGACAAGGGCTATCCTGAGTGGATATGGAATGTGATTCTGGCGATCCCATAAATGTTAGAAATACATATTATTATCGTTCAGGAGCTCAGGCAGAGGAGCGTGGTAGCCTCAGGAAGTAATTACACGGGTCGTTCAAAAAGTTTTGCCTCCAAGTTCATAATTTCGTTATTACTGATGCTACATACAAAAGTTATGCACCAAATGAAAGCTTAGGATATCTGCTACATGACAGTACCTTTACTTTTCAACATATATGGTCGCCTTCTTTGTCGATGCAGATCCGCAAAAGTCGAATAAGTTGTTGCATGCCGTGGACGAAAAATTCATGTGGTTTTCCTCTGAACCAGCGACGCACATCTTCTTGAACTTTATCGTCATCTGCATAACGTTTTCCTTTGAGGTACTCCTTCAACTTAGGAAAAAGATAAAAGTCAGATGGAGCAAGTTCTGGACTGTATGATGGATGCGGTAAGGTCTCTTGAAATCTGAGACTTTTCATGACATCTTGAGTTTGTCGACTCGTGTGTGGACGGGAGTTGTCATGGTGCAAAATTATATTTTTTTCTGGCCGAACTCGTGACAACTGTCCTCTTCGTTTTCTCAGGGTCTCAATATATCGTTTAGAGTTGATAGTGGAGCCCTGTTCCAAAAATTCCATATGAACCAGACCATAGCAGTCCCAGGACACTGTCATAAGCACTTTCTTTGCAGATGAAACAACTTTGAACTTCATGGGGCTAGGTGAGCCCGAGTGCTTATATTCTTTCGACTGTCTTATTTTTTTCTCTGGGTCATAATGGTGTACCCAAGTTTCGTCTCCTGTAACAATGCGTCGTAAGAAAGCTTCACCTTCATCGGTATTAAGAGCCAGGAGTTCATCACTAACTTGACTTCGGTTCAATTTCAGCTCTGGTGACAACATGAAGGGAACCCACCGTGCACACACTTTCCTGTAACCCAACACACCATGGATAATACACTGAGCACTCCCTACAGAAATCCCTAGCTTTTCACTGACATCTCTTGTTTGATCCGCTGGTTTGCTTGGATGATCTCATCAACTCTCTCCTGTTGTTGAACATCACTGGCAGAGTTGGGACGACCACATCGAGCTTGGTCATGCAAATCTGTCTCTGCTTGACTGGTTTCAGCAAACTCCTTTGCCCATCTTCGAATAGTACTTACCTCTACACATGCTTTACCATAGACAAACTTCATTTGCCTATGAATATCGATGGGTGCAGCTCCTTCTGCAGTAAGGAACTCAATAACAGCTCTTTGCTTTAAACGCACATTCATAGATTTGCCTGACGCCATTTTCTCAGCAACAATGTACCCTTGCTTCATTGATGTAAACAGCAGTAGCATAAAGGTGTGACGTCATAGTATAATTCTTTGG